AAAAAAAAAAAAAAATGCGCAAAAAGGTCGGGAATGCTATAAAAATTCCGCGTTACGACTGATGATTGGCTTGAACAAAACTTGATATAAAACACAAGAAAACTGCGGGATAGTGTACTGGATTTGTTTCGGAATTACCATACTATCAGGACCCAACTTTGCAAACAAGTTCGACAATTATAAATTTATCACTTTCTCTACTATATAATGGACATTCTCTCCGTCCCCCAGGTGCACCGTGCCTTGTTGGCTGCAACAAGCGACTACTTCCAGGTCATGTTCAAAGGGGTCATGGCCGAGAGCAAGCAGGACACGGTTGACCTGAAAGGTGTGACTGCAGACGGACTTCAACAGGTATTGTCGCTCACTTGGTCACCATCTTTATCTTCTCTCTGTGCTCTTTATCTCTCTCCCCCCCCCCCTTCTCTCTCTCTTCTTCTGTCACAAGATACATACCCTTATATATATATATATATATATATATATATATATATATATATATATATATATATATATATAAACATACCGATATGATTTGCGTCTGTGGCTAAGGCGTTGCGAACGCGCTTCGTAACGCCGGGTTGCCGGGTTTGATCCCACCTGCGGGTGATTTAGAAGCAGAGCTCTTGCGTTGATTTCAACTGTAGTACCGAGAGCTGACTGCTAAAGCAATGACAAACTACTGAACGTAAAATTTGCCTAGAAAAACCACAACAGCCACACAATTCTGGAGTTGGTTCTGCAACATCCAGTAAACGATAGGCAACTTACATTTTTCAAACATATAATATACATACACACAAACACGAGGAATCTGAAATAAAAACCTTTAGTTTGATAGACATTAAAAAAACTATGACACTCTCTTGTAACTTGTAAATATTTTTGTTAAGGATGTCAAGAGTATTAAGTATGTGCCACACCATGCAGACAATCACGGTGCAGTCATAATGACATTTTGAAAAGGACTTTCCTATTTTTGACATGCACCAAAGAGGAGAAGCGATTTGTTTGACGTTTGCTTGATTACGGAGGGGTGAAACCTACCTTCTTCTTAAAGTGCATGCCTTGTTCCGTTGGTAGTCAAGTCTATCCACAACTTTCTGTCTCGTTTACTTTCAATAAATTCTGACACAAATCGGCCTTATATCTTGATACCAATCTATCCAGTATCTTCTGTCTCGGTCTCCCTCTGCATCGCTTCCCCTCCAAATGTTCCCACTGTCATGATATACTTTTCTCATTCCCATGACATGACTAAAGAATGTTTTTCAGTTCTCTTTTTGGGTCAGCTTCTTTCACGACATCTTCATTACTCTTGTTATTTGTCTAGTGAATTCTAATAATTCGTCTATAAACCCACACCTATGCAGCTTCCAAATCATTTTTCATTAATTAATCAACTGTCCACCATTCGCTTTCTTATATCATGATAGAATTTAGGAAACTTTTAAAAATTCCCTGTCTCATCTCCTTTGCTGGAGCTATTCTACATTTGACTTCTTTAATATACCTTCTTATCTAATGTTATCAGGGTACCCAAGTACTTGAACATATCAACTTGCTTGAGGATTGCCCCACTTACTTTCAAACTGCATTTCCGCGAGTCCATAATGCTTGTAATTAACATTACCTCTGTTTTTCTGCTGCTCAGACTTGGATTCTTATTTTGACTGTTTGTCACAATGATGTCCATAATTCCTTGAAGTTGTGTTTTTTTCTCAGCGATCAAAACTATATGGCAGGTTGTTAAAAAAAATGCCAAACAACTCATTTTCCGATCAATATATGGATCTAATTATTATTTTACTGTACAAACTGAATAAATCGGATGATATTACACAGTTATTCGTCGGAGAATGAAGATTTAGTATAGTTACAAAGAGGCAGACCGAGAAGACGATGGAGAGATAACATCCAGACACTTGGTGTCACCAACTAAAAATAGAAGGCCAGCCAGAGAGATAAATGGAGACGGCTGATATCTGCAGCAATATACCTCAAGGGCTCGGAATGCTGAAGAAAAAGGCCAACCAGAGAGATTAATGGAAGCAGGTGATATCTGCAGCAATGAACCTCAAGGGATCCGAATGCTGAAGAAAAATGCCAACCAGAGAGATGAATGGAGGCGGGTGATATCTGCAGCACTGAACCTCAAGGACTCAAAATGCTGAAGAAGAAGAAGAATTATGGTGATGTATGCCTGTCAGTGTGTGAGTGAAGTCGAAAGCGTCACAGCGGCGTGACTTGCGACAGACAGCTTACCACCATGTCTGCCACACTCAGTTGTGACCCAAGAGCTGTTTTGAATGTTACGTTTGACACTTTTACTTCTAAGATGAACGTTTCTAGATATCTGTTTTTCCTAATATTCTACGCCTTAGAACAGGACACAATCGACTTTGCATCCACAGGTGCACATAATTTAAGATTGGCGAATCAGCCATGTGTACATGTGGTTTGGCACTTGGGACAACAGATCACGTCCTGCAAGACTGTCACAGAAACAACATTTCAAGACAAAACTTTTGGTCAAGAGAAACGTCAGTGCAAGCAAAACTTTACGGGTCGCTGAGTGAATTACAAAAGACTATTAAGTACAAACTAGAGACAACATTGAATATATAGACAATTTATTTAAAGCGAACGAAAGAAGAGAAGAAGAACTCCTTTCTGAAGCTGATTCGACCTTACAACAACCACCACCTGAGACTGGGTTAGTAGCCAAGCGTTGAATTGATGTTATCAGAAACAGATACATGTATTTGAACAAAGAAGACACAAACAGTAGACTGCACAATTTATTGCCTGACATATTTCGTTGTATCTCTTCAGGGGCACACTACAGTACCAATTGGTTAAAATGAAGCTGGCACATCATTAACAGGGATGATGCATTCCGAATTATTTACAATTCGGCCAGCCGAAGATTACTGCGATATGCGGAAGCTTCCGCGATCAGCCGGTTGAAACCAGATCTCTGTAGGCAGAAAGAAATGGTCGTTACCTTACGGTTACCTTGGTGAAACAGTTTAGAATGTACTCGAATTTGTGTTTCAGTTTCTAGAGTTCAGCTATTTGCTTCATTTTAATCAGTTGTTACTATAGTATGCACCTGACGAGATACAGCGAAATATGCCAGGCAATAAAGTGTGCAGTCTATTGTTTGTGTCTTCTTTGTTCAAATTCACATCGGGGAAACACTGCTTTGATATACATGTATGTTAGGTTGCAGAGTACTAACTTAGCTGACCTCCACAGGTCATAGAGTTCATTTACAGCGGAGAGATGACCTTGTCCGATGAGAACCTGACAGAAGTCATCAACACGGCCAGTCATCTGCAAATTGCCAGCGCTATTGACGTCTGCAGCTCTTACATCAAGGTAGCTGTGTTTGTTTGAAAGTATAGAAGTTGATCCTTTTTGTTTTCTTCCGGAGTATGTGTCTTGGGGAAACTATCTACCAGCGCTAAGATGGACGCGGGATCTGTGAGATATCTTGGTCATGAACATCCACGAGTTAGAGCGGCAGGCATGATACCTGGGAGGTTCATGGGACTGTCAGACCGTCATGAGGTTGAGTCTTCCAAGTACCTGCTACATTTTAATGATGAAGATGTTCATGAAAATATCTTTTCGACAGTCTATTATGTTGGTGTCTGCTTTTAAAAATTGGCTGGTCCTCATCCTTATCACCATTACGAAACAGGTGGCGTCTGGTCAACATGTTGGATAGGCTTTTTACTGCTTTTAGTCGTGGTAATTTTGTGCTTCTGACAATAGTTAGCTTTTGCATGTTGCATTTTGTTTAATATGTAGACTGAAAGGATATAGTTTTGTCGCTCGGTTACTCCGACACTGTGAGCTGAGGCATTCGTATGGAATCTGGTTTGTGTTGTGAACTGCAGTTTCAGAAAATGCTGAATTGCATGCTGTCTGAGGACTTGTGGTGCCTTATGCACTTAACTTCGTATGCAACTATTTATCTGTTGTAACTGCTGCTTCCCTTGACGACGAACAGCGTTTCTAGTGTAGGACTGTTTGTGTTTGTACTTCTTACAGCTGCCTCAAGCATTTAATGGGCGTGTATACTGTTGGATTGGCTAAGACTGCAGATGGACACTGGTGAATATTCTGTTTGATTTTCGTTGCCACAGGAGCAGAACAACTGTCGACTGACCTAGCTGCTATCATGTTGGAACTTCAATCGCCTGATCACCTGATAAAGCAGCACGTCGTTCTTAACATGGCACACTTAAAGGTCACTCGGTCCCCTGTCAGCTTTCCCACCTCGTGAATTTCCCATGATGTGTTGTAAATCACACCAGTTCATTATTTCAGAACATGTTTTATAACTCACGGCTGCACGTTCACCTCCGGATCTGAAGGTCGTTGGCTCAAATCCGAAACTAGCTAGACATTTAAAAAAAAAATGAACTTGGTTGTTCCCATTTTCCCACTTGATTGATCTGTGTTCCCAATTTGACCCTTGTCTCTGTTTGACCCTTGTTCCCAATTTGACCCTTGTTCCTTGTTTGATCCTTGTTCCCAGTTTGACCCTTGTTTCCTGTTTGACCCTTGTTCCCACTTTGACTCTTGTTCCCTGTTTGACCCTTGTTCCCTGTTTGACCCTTGTTCCCTGTTTAACCCTTGTTCCCTGTTTAACCCTTGTTCCCTGTTTAACCCTTGTTCCCTGTTTGACCCTTGTTTCCTGTCTGACCCTTGTTTCCACTTTGACCCTTGTTCCCTCTCTGACCCTTGTTCCCAATTTGACTCTTTTCCTTGTTTGACCCTTGTTACCTGTTTAACCTTTGTTCCCTGTTTGACCCTTGTTTCCTGTCTGACCCTTGTTTCCACTTTGACCCTTGTTCCCAGTTTGACCCCATGTTCCCTGTTCGACCCATCTTTACATGAGTACCAGCTAAACTCATGGGATGTAAAGGTGGCCTGCGTGGTGTTGATCACATCACATAACGAGTTCCGGTGGGTCTATAGATTATAGGTTTAGCCTTTTATGATCGAAGGCATGGAAAAGAGTTCTTTGCTTCATAACTCACTTGTTTCTGACACCTAATTGACACAGTCGCTGCTGACGTTTGACAACTACGAGGAGTTCATGTCCATCGCCGACACGTACTGTCTGGAGTCTGTGATAATTCACTGGGAAAAGATGATTCACGAGCGGTTCTTGGAGTTTAGTAACAAGCAGGTGAGTCTGAACGGGAAATCATCACTGCTTTTGTAATGTATGATTCTCGGTGGTTAATAAATATCCTTCCCCAAATAGGGGAAATCCACAGGTCACGAGACAGTCTAATATTTCAGGGGGTGGTAGGCTGCATGCAGTCGTGGGACCTAGGCTACACTCTCTCGTGGGACGCAGTTGGGTTCGGGTTATGGCCAGTTCTAGATGTTTTGGGGTCGTAAAAAGCATGAGAAAGCCGGGAAACCCAGTCTTACCATTCTGTAAATTGTTGGACTGTTTTTTGACGTCACCTGATACAGAATATTAGAAAGCACCGGATTCTCGTTTTCTTCTTCTTCTGTCAAAATTTTCTTTTTCTTTGTTTGACCGACTATAAGCTCTGGCGGAAAGTTTCGGTTTTTCATCCATTTGGAATTTGGCTTCATGTCAAGGCCTGAGTTTACGTGTACATCTGTTTTACTGAATTTGTGTGTGTGCAGCTGGTTGTTCCTTGCCGCTCGAGCAGGTGCACTGCTACTTCCTATTAGTCGACTCCTGCGATGTGTATTTTGGAGAGACAGTGGGTCTATTCTTGTTTTCTCCACAATGGGGCCCCGGAACCGACACTGGCACTGTTAATATCTGCTTTTAACCATTAAGGATCACTGATTAACGCAGGGTAGGCAGCCAACGCTATGCTGTCAATGTCAAACATGGACATTGTCTTCAGAAGACAGAAGAAAAGTAGCCACGACAGAAAGGAAATGTTTACGTATGACGCTAGGTGTAACAAGGAAAGTTCGACTGAGGAACAATGACACAAGGAGGAGAGTCGGCACAGAACGAATATTGAACTTTATAAGTAGACAATAGATGAAATCGTTTGTAACACAATTCTAATCAGACAGGGCACCACAGAAAGCAGTGTTATACATATACAGCGGTAAGAAAGCCAGAGGTCGATCGCACAGAATTTGCACCTCAGAAATATCAGAGACACTGAAAGGTATGTTATACGAAGCAAACAGAAGGGTCTGTTCCAGAGATATCTTCCTGCTCTGTCGCCAACAGGCGTTTAAATGAGTAGAGAAAATAAAAACATTTAGCTTTTAAAATGGGCACTGGATATACAAGGTGGTCGGGACTTAGAACCTCGCAAGGTTATGTTGGCGGAAGGCTACGGAAAACCAAGGAATGCATGGATAGACAATGTAGCTGAATTTGAAAGAAGACACACACCCCAAAAATATTACTGAAACCACATTAGAAGTACGTGATGTACATACATAAACATATGAGGAATCCATAAGGCCCTAGAAACAGTGTACATAATAAGTAAACAAAGTAAGTGATCAGCACTTATAAAAGGAAGTATAAAATTAGAAAAACACATTTATTAGAAGTAAACAAGTAAAGGACCTTTTTTCTACGCCTTCACGCGTACTGGGCATATAAGGTTAGAGCTATACTCTATAGACCAATCAGCAGTCGGTGGATGATTTGTTCATCATCACGCGGGCCGCTTTTACTTCTCAGGACTGTTCCTGGTACCCGCTTAGGGGTCAACCTGGAAGAACATTTTTGAAGAAAATTTAAAGGCTGGATAAGTCAGAATCCGAACCCACTACACCACCGCGGCCCCCGAATAACACATTAAACAACATTAAAAAAACTGTAGTTACCATGCGAGGAATGGAACCTGTCGCCTCCACAAGACGACAGCGCCTTGTTGCAGTACGAAATGGATATTATCGTCATCATCATCAACAGGTCCTTTGCAGCATATGGCTCTCACCATTGTCTGACTGAAAGATACTCGGTCTCTCGCCAGCTCTTCCGCCTCATGTACTTTCGCTCTCATCATTGTCTGACTGAAAGATACTCGGTCTCTCGCCAGCTCTTCCGCCTCATGTACTTTCGCTCTCATCATTGTCTGACTGAAAGATACTCGGTCTCTCGCCAGCTCTTCCGCCTCGTGTACTTTCGCTCTCATCATTGTCTGACTGAAAGATACTCGGTCTCTCGCCAGCTCTTCCGCCTCGTGTACTTTCGCTCTCATCATTGTCTGACTGAAAGATACTCGGTCTCTCGCCAGCTCTTCCGCCTCGTGTACTTTCGCTCTCATCATTGTCTGACTGAAAGATACTCGGTCTCTCGCCAGCTCTTCCGCCTCGTGTACTTTCGCTCTCATCATTGTCTGACTGAAAGATACTCGGTCTCTCGCCAGCTCTTCCGCCTCGTGTACTTTCGCTCTCATCATTGTCTGACTGAAAGATACTCGGTCTCTCGCCAGCTCTTCCGCCTCGTGTACTTTCGCTCTCATCATTGTCTGACTGAAAGATACTCGGTCTCTCGCCAGCTCTTCCGCCTCGTCTACTTTCGCTCTCATCATTGTCTGACTGAAAGATACTCGGTCTCTCGCCAGCTCTTCCGCCTCGTCTACTTTCGCTCTCATCATTGTCTGACTGAAAGATACTCGGTCTCTCGCCAGCTCTTCCGCCTCGTGTACTTTCATATTCAAGAAGTCACTCACATAAAGAGAGATTTATTTTAGTTCGCGTGTCGATCACAGGGGGTTGATTTCACGATAAATCCCAGGCAGCGACAAACCCGTAGCTGCGTAATCTTCTTCTCACTACTACTGTAATCTCGTCATCCTCTTGCGAGATGCAAATTATAGTTATTTTGAAGCCCCACCCTGGCTTTTGTCGAGGGGGGGGGGGGAAGGGGCCTAAATATAGCCTGGCCTGAAATATGACCTAACGTCTCAACGGGGTTTCCGGGACCTCTTCACGGGTGATCCTCATCCGCATGGTGGCACTTTGAGACATCGGGTGTTTATCGCTTGTGTGATGTCCTGGTGGGGTACAACTTTCATAATACAAACATCTTCTTCTCCTTCTTCAGACTGTTGACCCCACATCTCTCAGGCAGATGTTCTCCGACTTTAAAAGAAAACATCCCTAATTAGTCTATTTTTACTGTATGTTTGTTGCGGAGGAGGGGAGTTGGGGTGTTCAATGCTTCTATGGGGATTGTCGCCGGAGCTCCGGATTTCTTGCTCTGTGCGGTGCCCTCGGTAGGTGGCTAGCCGTTCTACGGAGAGAGACCAAGCCATTTGAGATAAAAAAAACCAATGCAATGAAGTCGATCCCTTCGCTTTTACCCTTAATTAAACCTTTATGATCTCCCCAGCAAAAAATACACGCCCCCCAGAACCTACACGGGAACACGCTACAGAAAACATACGCGTGTAATAAAGAATATTTTCTGTTGTAACTCGATATTGAAAGTTGAAACCAAATCGAAGTCACTGGGGGAACTGTGCATCCAAAGTTCAAGGTTCTATAGATGTCAAAAAGCCCCAAAATGGCCGTGTGGAATATTCATTAAATGAAGCAGGCGCCAGGTGGATTACCCACGGGACATATGTGTTCATTGTATGAGCCCATGGGCTTCATTTGTTTATTAAATTCTTTAGTGATCATCGGTCGGTTTAGATCTCTTCCAGTGTGTAGCATAAAATGAGATGCAAATTGCATAGTACTGTTGCCATGTCTTGGTTTGATATGACTTAGCTAACGTATAACAGTGACTGTAGCCGGTACCACCTGTTTTCTGTTAGTGCCGAATGTTGGACCGCCTATTCGAAACCTGACATCTCCTACTGTGCCAGCGGCTTCTAGCGAAGGACCACATTGAGGGAGGATACTCGGCTGGCAGCTGATCTAAGAGGGAAGCAGATGGACATACAGATCACTGCTTTTCTGATTTGGCAGCTTCTGCAGCCTGATTTGTGCCAAACCTACTTTTGTTACCTGTCCTTTGGAGTAAACAAGGCCGGTCAAGAGAGAGAGGAGAGAGAGAGAGAGAGAGAGAGAGAGAGAGAGAGAGAGAGGGAGAGAGAAAGAGAGAGAGAGGGAGAGAGAGAGAGAGAGAGAGAGAGAGAGAGAGATCATGCATGGGCAACATAGGGTCTCTACAGTACTGCCTAGGCTTTGTGCTATGGATAGGAGGATAAGATATGCTGAGGTATTTGAACCATAGTCTCCACTGTGATATGTAACTTTCGTTTCATAATCATATGTAACTTAGATCAGTGTTCTTCAAGCAGGGGCCTGCGGTCCCCTTTCTGCCTCTTTAATTCCCCTTGAAACGTCTAGGTGGACCTCCTAAAAAATTATGCGTGATCGTGTAGCGGGGTATGGCAAGTATCTATTCTCTTTCATGAATGCAGTCTGTAGGATTAACATCTCAGTTATGAGAATCAAAAGCGTCTTCTGCCGAAAACGGAAATGTTGTCACATCGGATTCGCAAGAATTTCAGTCAAAATGGCGAAGCAAAGTTAATTGCATATCCTTTACAGTACATTGCTAAAACAATCCCAACGTTGTTTAGATGTTGTGGTTTTCTAGGCAAATTTACGTCCAGTAGTTTGCCATTGCTTACTGGATGGTCGGCTTCTCGATATCACGGTTGAAACCAACGCAAGGCTCAAGGCCTGCAGCTGTGATCTAACCAGGCATCCCGGCATTACGAAGCAGGTTCGAAACGCCTAAGCCACAGACGCCGACTGGCGAAGCAGGGGGATGTTAATTTTTCGGCCAGATTCTAACTTGGGTCAGTTTCGGACATCCTAGAGTGGACGTTGTGTGAAACTAGTCTGAATACGATAGTATTCTAGTTCAAGTGTGACCTTCTAGGAAAATTAGTTAGAACTAAATTTATTCTCCCCCATTTACACAGTGTAACACACTACCTCACTTCTGATTGATCGACCATCAGACTAGCTCACTTCTGATTTGGTTGACCTTGGGCCAACAGCGACGTGAAGTCGATATAGAGATAGAGCAGGAGCCTGCATGGACAGACCTGGTACATTATCATCACGATACGGACTAGACTGGCGGTCAACGATGAATCCCTGACGCTAATACGATAGCATGACCTCAGAGTGAAGCACGTGGGTGTCGTCACTCAGTCAATGAATTAAATAACCAACCAATTAGCTAATATCCCAGCGAACCAATACACCTTTCAGCTAATCAACCAAACGATCAATCAAGTAACCACAATCGGTCAGCTAGACAACCAATCAACTAACTAACTAATCAATCAACAAACCAACTAACCAATCTATCAACCAGACAACTGATCAATTAACCACCGCCCAATCAACCAACCAACCAATCTACTAATCACTCAACGAACCAATCAGCCTATCAGCTTATCAACCAAATAATTAACTAAGAACCAATTAACCGACCAGGTGATTAAAAAAATCTGATCACCCAAGCACCCACCAGATATATCTTACAACCAACAAACCAACCAACCCATCAACCAACAAGTCAACCAGCTAACAAACCAACCTACCAGTAACCAATTCAACCATTGAACCAAACAAGCAATCATTTAACCAGCTAATCACCCAGCCACCTTATCAACCAATCAACTAACCAACCACATTACCAACCAGTCAGTCACCCAACAAACAAACCTACAACTCAACTAATCAACCAACCAACAAACAAAAAACTTTAATTTCTGCAAGAAAAAAAAAAAAAAAGCTTTTACAATTTAAACTGTTTTTAATTATTTCAAACAGGCTTTCCTCAAAATGGATGGAGACAAACTGGCATATCACCTATCACAGGATTCACTGAGGATATCCTCGGAGTTTCAGCTCTTCCTTTGCGTCATCAAATGGTTGAGGTTAGTTTTTTATGTGTGTTTTCCCCTCTGAGTATGTAACTTAACACTTGCTCCAACTTATGCTAATTTTTTCCCCTAGAAGGGAGCTAAATAAAACTCACACCATGGCTGCAAAGCACATATGTAGACTCAAAGAAGAAAAAAAGGAGAATAAGAAGAAGAAATGCCGGTACTCACCACAGAGTGTTTAAAAAGATGCCGGTAATCACCACAAAGTGTCTAAACAGGTGCTGGTACTCACCACAGAGTGTCTAAAGAAGTGCTTGTACTCACCACAAAGTGTCTAAACATGTGCTGGTACTCACCACAATGTGTCTAAACAGGTGCTGATATTCACCACAAAGTGTCTAAACAGGTGCCGGTACTCACCACAAAGTGTCTAAACAGGTGCCGGTACTCACCACAGAGTGTCTAAACAAGTGCTGGTACTCACCACAGAGTGTCTAAACAGGTGCCGGTACTCACCACAGAGTGTCTAAACAAGTGCTGGTACTCACCACAGAGTGTCTAAACAAGTGCTGGTACTCACCACAAAGTGTCTAAACAGGTACTTGTACTCACTACAATGTGTCTAAACAAGTGCTGGTACTCACCACAAAGTGTCTAAACAAGTGCTGGTACTCACCACAAAGTGTTTAAACAGGTGCCGGTACTCACCACAGAGTGTTTAAACACGTGCTGGTACTCACCACAAAGTGTCTAAACAAGTGCTGGTACTCACCACAAAGTGTCTAAACAAGTGCTGGTACTCACCACAAAGTGTCTAAACAAGTGCTGGTACTCACCACAAAGTGTCTAAACAAGTGCTGGTACTCACCACAAAGTGTTTTAACAAGTGTTGTTACTCACCATAAAAGTGCTGCTGCTGGTAGATAGTCCCCCCAGAGACCGCCCATATACACACTAGCTCACTTCTGATTGGTCGACCTCGAGTCACCCGACCTTGACACAAGATGACAGGGGGGGGGGGGGGGGTCCCCAATATCGTTGATATCGCGTGTTCTATATTTCATCATGCCAGCACTTTTAACACTACCAAAAAACATGGAGAAACTGGGTCTAACACACAACCTCCCCTAGAGAGTGCTGCAACCTATGTCACAGGCATTCTCTTTCTCGGAAGAAAAACGTTATGCAAGACAAGCCAAAAAGCTTGCTTGCCAAAATCTTAGTTTTACCAAAATAGGATATAAAATACACAGTGTATCTTTACTTTTGTGGCTGATAGCTGCTGGTACGTGTAGATGGTAGAGGAGGAAGACTGTGGCTGATAGCTGCTGGTACGTGTAGATGGTAGAGGAGGAAGACTGTGGCTGGTTATTTTCTCATGATAACGACCCAGATACATTTGTCTTTTTCTTCGTTGGATAATTTTCCGAAAGTTGGACGTCGCTGTTTGTGGCTTTCGTGCGCCGAGGTTTTATTCGCGGGTTCAAGTCCAAATTTGTTCGGAAAACATATTCGTGACTAGGCCAGGCTCGCTAGCGTAGTTGGCTAAACCGGATTGCGCGGTGACCGGGTGACGAACTCCTTGTGGTCTGGGTTCACGCCCAGGGAGTAGGCAGAAAAGCCACATTTTCTCCCAGATTTACGGTATTTATCATAGAATCAAGGCAGAAGGGTTGCGATATCCATAATACCGAACCTAAGGGTTAACTCATGGCTTCTGGTTTAAAAAAAAAAAAGTTCGTGACTAAAGGCGTTCGTGACTGAAGGTACTCCGGTTCTGTTTCTACTGTCCTTCTCCAGGTTTCCCCAGGTCACCCAAGTCTGTTTTTTTTTTTGCCATCTCCGGTCCATCGGCTGGCTGTTTTTGCTAAAGAGTCACAAGGCATTCTGCAGGGGCTGCCAGGTCTCGGGGCATCGTGTTCGATTCGAGTGCTAGAGGTTCAGGGTTCAATCACCGGTAAGGGCTGGGATTTTTTCACGTGGACTTCGACTTCTAGTAATCACCCTTATTCTCTGGGTAGTGAGATCGGACGCCCGTGTGCATTGTTGAGCATGTAAAAATTCCCTCGGCAGTTAGAAATAAACAAGAGTAACCTAACAGCGCTGCCCTGGCCAAATTTTGAGTTAAAAATCTACCCAAAGTATTTCGGGATCCTCGCCAGACACCATGCCGCAAGACCACCCAGCCCCCTCAAGGTTTCCTTAGGTCACCCACGTCTTGTTTTTTACCCTATCCGGTCTATCCGCTGGCTGATTTCGCTAGAGTGTCACAAGGCATTCTGCAAATACTCCCAAGCCATCTCCGTCATCTTCATTTGATAACGTTTACGATGAACATTCTGTGTTTCGTTCTCAGTTATGTTTTGTATTTTTATGTCACTACAATCTTTGCACAATTTCCCTCAGACGTGTATTTTGAGAAGTCTCTAGTTTATTTGTAATTCCTGCTGCCATTTTCCAGCACCCATTATTGTCTAATCGCTATGTATAATTTTGCTCTTTTTTAATCTGAGATTTATCTTCATACTAAGTCTTTCACTTCTATGAATTGTTAAGCAGCACACATACATACTTGGCTTGCTTTGTTTATTTTTGACGTTACATCATTTTTAGAATACCCAGCTGGAGTATTCTACAAAATAATCCTGGGCTGTTCAGATATTCTTAAACATCTTCTTTTGCTTTAAAGTCTTAGATAATTAGATTTTCTGTTTTCTGGTTATTTCTAATTTTTTTTTGGTCATATCTTAAGGGCTGTTGTTGAAAGTCTGTTAATCTTCTCCTAAGCACACACATATCTGTTTGATAAATGACTGTTCCCGTGTGGGTTCCGATGCCCTATTATAGCGAAAACAAGAATAGATACACTGCCTACCCAAAGGTATGTCGTAACAGTCGGCTAACTGGGAGCTTCCTTCGAAGTCAGAGTACATCTGCCTGAGAGGCAAGGAACTAACATTCTGCATGCAAAGAGTCAGACCTGTGAAACTGATGTACACTCAAAACATAGTTTCTGGATCAGGACGTGCACGAACAACCAGACCTTTCCATCGGAGTTTACAGCTGGTGAACACAGACTCTCTCTATTGACAAAGAAGCATTGCATAAAATATTTTAATCAACTTTCATTTTGATCAAACTGTCTCTGTTGACAAAGAAACATTGCATACAATATTTCAATCAACTGTCTTATTGATGAAACTGTCTCTATTGACAAAGAATCATTGCATTCAATATTTCAATCAACTGTCTTATTGATGAAACTGTCTCTGTTGACAAAGAATCATTGCATTCAATATTTCAATCAACTGTCTTATTGATGAAACTGTCTCTATTGACAAAGAATCATTGCATACAATATTTCAATCAACTGTCTTATTGATGAAACTGTCTCTGTTGACAAAGAATCATTGCATTCAATATTTCAATCAACTGTCGTTTTCATCAAACTGTCTCTATTGACAAAGAATCATTGCATTCAATATTTCAATCAACTGTCGTTTTCATCAAACTGTCTCTATTGACAAAGAATCATTGCATTCAATATTTCAATCAACTGTCTTATTGATCACACTGTTGACAAAGAAGCACTGCATACAATATTTCTGCCAACTATCGTTTTGATTTCCCCTCTATCTTGTCCAGGCACGTACCAAGCCGGATCAACACTGATGCAGTGAAATGCCTCAGTAGTCTGCGGTTTGGACTTATGTCCGAACAGGAGCTGGCCCTAGTCCGAGACAACGACGCCATCAAGAGGTGTCCAGTTAGCCAGCAACTCATCGCCAAAGGATACAGTTATCACATGGATTGTAGAAAAGGTTTTTTTTTTTTTATGTTTACACTTCTGGTTTAGCCATCGTGAATACACTTTTATTATTTCGAATAGTTTGAAAATATCACTCGTCATCCGCATGTGGGTTGAAATTTTTAGTTATTTCAAAGTCCCATCCCGACTTTTGCCGGAGGCCCTATATAAAGCCGGGACTGAAATATGGCCTAACAAGCTGAGAGGGGTTTTCAGGACCACCCCGAAGGGTGTTCCTCATCCACATGGTGGTACTTTGTCTCACCGGTTGTTTATCGCTTGTGTGATGTTCTGGTGGGGTACAACTTATCTACATAATTTGAATATATATTGATTTCAAGAGAAGTTATGAAATAGGAGAAATATCTGGGTAACTACTAGTAACTGCAGTTTGAGTTGAGTTTAAAAAAAAATAGTAACAGTAAAGATCCCTTTACACGCCCTTAGGTGCATCGGGCATTTAGGAAGAGCACCCATATTTTTACAGAGCAACGGCACTAGGTGGGTAATGTGGTCAGCATTACGCCGGCCGTCTTTACTTTCCCAGGACAGCCCATCCTGGTACCCATTTGAGGCTGGGTCGACCTGCGACGTCCCATACCACGATAAAATTCTACGCAGCCCGCAGTGGGTTTCGATCGCGGTAGGTTGAATTACGAGTCGGACTCGCAACGCCTTAGCCACGGACGTAACGAGTTGAGTTAAGTTGTTTAAAAAACCAACATCACAGCGCTCGCATCATTCCCATAAGCGCTCTGTCCTCATCTTCAGCAGCCAGCACAGTGTTACGATACTAATGATGCGATGCCAGTAGCATTCTGATTATACGTCCGTCTTGCCTTTCCTACGAGCGTCAGATATCAGCCAGAACGCCTCGTTACTCTCCGCTACATCCCTCTCACAAGATTGTGTGATTCACTTTCTCTTCAGAATTGTACACGTTCTCGTACAAGTGCCCAACCAAGCATTCCACCAAGTTGTGCAGAGCCAAACAACAGTTTTACCACAAGGAAAACGGTGCTATCCGGGACATCGTGGCAAGAGACGCAGGAGAATCACAAGACTGACACTGCAATAAAATATAAACAGGAATCAGTTCTAGAATAGACCATCCACTTCTTCTTTTTCTTCGCGTTCATCAGCTGTAAACTCTGGTGGAAAGTTCTGGTTGTTCATCCACTTCTGGACTGCAGTCCTGTTCCATAACCGGAGTGTTGCATATGCATCCGTTTTACAGGTTTGACTCATTTGTTTGCAGAATCCTGGCTCCTCGCCTGACCATGCACTCATAATTATAACTACAGAACTTATTAATTTTTATAGTCTTTAGATACTGTACTCCAGTGGGTGCCATCCCACTGTGGTATACCTAAAACTAACCCGCAGGTAAACTTGCTAAGAAAGAGGCAACATCTGGATAGGAAGAGATTACGGTAAAATACTATTAGAAGAAAAGGGCCATCCAGGCTATTAGAAGTGAACAGAGCCTGGCCAGGGATGACTGTCCATACTTGACCGCAATGAGCAGGTCATTATTCTGCGATTCAGTACAGGACATAACAAACTCAGCAAGCATACGCACAGGCTTCGAATAAGTTCACTATTGTGCCCTTGTAGGCGATGTGTACAGACTACAGAACACGTCCTGTAAGAATGTCCCTTGTGGGCTATGTGTGCAGACTACAGAACACTTTCTGTAAGAATGTCCCTTGTGGGCTGTGTGTGCAGACTACAGAACATTTTCTGTAAGAATGTCCCTTGTGGGCTGTGTGTACAGACTACAGAACACGTCCTGTAAGAATGTCCCTTGTGGGCTATGTGTGCAGACTACAGAACACTTTCTGTAAGAATGTCCCTTGTGGGCTGTGTGTGCAGACTACAGAACATTTTCTGTAAGAATGTCCCTTGTGGGCTGTGTGTGCAGACTACAGAACATTTTCTGTAAGAATGTCCCTTGTGGGCTGTGTGTGCAGACTACAGAACATTTTCTGTAAGAATGTCCCTTGTGGGCTGTGTGTGCAGACTACAGAACAGGTCCTGTAAGAATGTCCTTTGTGGGCTGTGTGTGCAGACTACAGAACATTTTCTGTAAGAATGTCCCTTGTGGGCTGTGTGTGCAGACTACAGAACAGGTCCTGTAAGAATGTCCTTTGTGGGCTGTGTGTGCAGACTACAGAACATTTTCTGTAAGAATGTCCCTTGTGGGCTGTGTGTGCAGACTACAGAACAGGTCCTGTAAGAATGTCCTTTGTGGGCTGTGTGTGCAGACTACAGAACATTTTCTGTAAGAATGTCCCTTGTGGACTGTGTGTGCAGACTACAGAACATTTTCTGTAAGAATGTCCCTTGTGGGCTATGTGTGCAGACTACAGAAATTTTCTGTAAGAATGTCCCTTGTGGGCTGTGTGTGCAGACTACAGAACATTTTCTGTAAGAATGTCCCTTGTGGGCTGTGCGTGAAGACTACAAAACAGGTCCTGTAAAAATGTCTCTTGTGGGATATGTGTGCAGACTACAAAACACGTCCTGCAAGAATGTCCCTTGTACAGCCTGTTGAGAGGAAATACTGGCCCAGCGAGACAACACTTCACTCAGAGATGTAAGGAACTAAAAGCGACGGGCCCCCCCCCCCCCCCCCTAAAAAAAAAAGAAGTAAAGGTTATAACGGTGTAAATCAGGAAGCGAACACGAAAAAAAAAAGAGAAGAATAAGATACTTTAAATGTTTGAAATATATAATAAGCATATTTGTTTTAGCATATTCTTTCATGCTTTTAACGAGAGTGTTGATTTGTTTATTTAATGGCCACAGCGTGTCTGGTTTTAATACCATTAAGGGTGAGTCACTGACCCATTCAGCCCAGCGACCTAAAAAAAAAATAAAGGTAGTTGAGGAAAAAAGGGGTGGGGTGGGAGAAGTTGCGGGGGGGGGGGGGGGGAGGGCTGAGGATAGGGGTTAAACACATCTTAAGATTTGTTGGTAGCTGTCTGCAAGGTTATGGTTTCTTATCACAGGCTAAAATAAAACTTGTGTCTGCATAATCTGTAGCCATAGCACCAGCCATGCGAATCAAAATCGTCTATGCCCACATTCACCCCCCCCCCCCTTTTTTTTTCAGGATTGTTAAATACGGGCATTAACGGCGTGTGTGTGTGTGTGTGTGTGTGTGTGTGTGTGTGTTTTGTTTGTATAATATAATTAGTTAGTTAGTTAGTTGGGTTATCATCATTGCACTGCAGACATGTCCATAGGTGCTCAGATCCCTTCCCCCCCCCCCCCCCTCAGTATGAACCCCAACGTCCGATGGCTAATAGTACCAGTTTAATTTTGATTAGCAAGTCTTCTGGCGTGTCTGTTGTGCGTCTCGTTTTTTGCTATGCCGATATTAATTCCCAAGTCTGCCATTCTGGCGAGTGATGTGGATTCACTGCTCCCAAAGTCCTCTATCCTTCCCATTTCTCTGAGGGCAATAATAATATCAGCATGATCCATAGGCTGACCGTCGGTAGTGATAGCGGATCCAGCCAACCTATCAGCTCTTTCACTTCCCTCGACGCCTGCGTTTCCCGGAACAAAAATAAAGGTGACTCAACGCACATATAATTATTGACAACAAATGCCAAATGTTGCGTGAAATGTTTCTGGGATGTTACAGAAACATTCTTAGAATAAAATAAAATAAAAAAAAAAATATTTTAAAAAAATAAATAAATAAAAATAGACAAATACCGACATTTAACCTGTTCTGAACATCGAGGAGAACTAGCTCATAAACAGCATCCTGCTGGAGTATTTTGACCATGTTAAGTGTCAAGGTGGCTTGGAGTGAAGGGTGATAGGGTGTGCAGTTTCCGTAAAACAAGGCGGAGACCGACTTTCGTAAAGGCGGATTTTACAAAACATTGAAAATGCATTAGATATGAAAGCACACAGGGTTGGAGGCAGGAGAAAGAGGAACCTCCAATCGGGACGAAAGAGAAAGGAGCTCAGTGAAGGACCTGTTAACTGGTGATGATTCCAGAAATAATAAACAATAAACTCACTGACCACCATCCCCTTTTTTCAATCCCACAAAAAGTATGTCGTAAAAGACATTATATTTTTCGTGTTCGTGTTAGCAGGCCGCGTGGTCTGGAGGCATGGTATTCGCCTCGAGTGCTAGAGGTTCCGAGTTCAATCCCTGTTAAGGGCTGAGATTTTTCTCCTGGACTTGGACTTCTAGTAATTCCCCTGGTTTCTGGGTAGTGAGATCAGACGCCCGTGTGTAATGCTGCGCACGTAAAAATTAAGAACCAGGCTTTCGAAACCATTGATGGAATGTTTGTGTACTTTCGCTTTCTTGAGTAGCATTTTGTTTCTGCTCAACAGGCCATCCAGTCATCGATGAACACTGCAGAGTACGGGCAGACAAGGCGGCGGTGGTAATGGTCCACCTGGGCACCTCCCACATGCCCTTTCAAATCACGGCTTTCAACTCTTCCACCAAATCATTCCATTGTCTCTTTAGCGACGTCAATGGCATCAGGGACTGCAGGGTGGCGTCTGTGGACAACTTCGCTTACGTCTGTCGTGTCATTGACTTTGGCGGTGGTACACTCATGAGCTCGTTGTTTAGATTCGACCCTCGCCACCTGGTCGGGCAGGAGCTGCGTCCAATGCGAAAACTGAGGTTGGAATTTGCTTGCGTGGCTCACGGGCGTTGCTTGTTTGTCTTTGGAGGCACGACTGAGCAGTTTGCAATTCTGGACGCCGTCGAATGTTATAATGTGCAGTCTAACACGTGGGAGGATTTGAACGCTCTTTCCACACCCACTCATTCCTTGGCAGCTGTATCTCATGGCTCAAAGATTTACTTATCAGGTGGAGTCTCTGGACAAGATAGGACTACAGTTGCAACTTTCTTCAGCTACGATCCAGCCTCCCAAAGTTACGAAGTGAAACCAAGCATGTTTTATTCACGGCGGCTACACGATATGATTGCTTGCAAAACGAAAATCTTTGCCCTGGGAGGTATCACCCGCCAGGGTATTCCTCTCTACGGACAAATCCCTATTGAAAGTTTTGACATGCCAACGAACCAGTGGACAATGCTATCGTCCACGTTGGGTGGACGCTCTGTTGGTCACTACCTCGTTCACGACGATGGACATATTCTGTCCTTAGGCCATGAACATCATATCGCCACAGAGGATGAGATGTGGCTCTACAGACCTGACACAGACTCCTGGGCAAAGTACGCCAAGGCTCCCCAGCGGATGAGCCTCAACTCAGCAATCAGCACTCACCTTTACGTTAATTTCTTCCATGAAAAGGTTGCTTCGAAGCTGATGAAAGAAAAATGACTATATGTGTGAAGGTTTATATCAACACAATAAACAACAGACCTTACTGCCTATTGCACCATTTGTGAAGGTGGTTTATGATAGGGAGGAGTGGGGAAGACCCGGGTTTAAATCCTTGATAAGGTAGTGGATTTTTTCTTCTCCTGTCATGGACCTCAGGAAAAAAAAAATCATAATCTGTAGAGTTTGTGCCCAGACACGCCTGCTTAAACTACAAACATGCTAAATGTAGGCAGTAAGTGCAGGTGGGTTTTTTCCTGGCCAGTTAGCAAGCATCACTTCAGGGGTTCCCGGTAGTTAGCATCCCTTTGATATTTTCTCCAGGTAATGCCGGTGTGTTGGGAAATGAGCAGGCAGATAGACTGGCTTGCTCTGCACCACTTGGTGGGGAATTGATGTATGACAAGTAAATATTGTGAGGGCCCTTTGGGAACGAGTGAACAGTGCGGAGGTGCAGATAGATCATTACGGTCTAAGGAGAATGGCGCTGCGAGGAGTTACCAGGGGATCTGACTGACGCTAAGGGGAAGGATGAGACCGTTACTAGTACCATCGGAAAAAGAACTCTTCGCTTGCTGCTGAAGATAAGGACTGAGCACTTACGGGAGTGTGATGGCGATTCCTAATTCAACATTCAACATTCCGGGCCAGAAAGTGAAGGGAATCATGAACCTAGATGTTTACGCTGCGTGGCAGTGGCTCATTCAGTTGAAACGAACTGTGCAGGTTAAGATGTTTATTTTTTCACCCAACTTAGCATAGCGAAAGGAATCTCTTCCACGCCTTTCAGGGGTATCGGGGATAAAGGGTTAGACTACATTGTATAGACCACTCAGTGAGTGATGTGGTCAACACCACGCCGGCCGCCTTCGCTTCACAGGGCTTTACCTGCTACCCCCTGAGGGCTGCGTCCACCTGGGAGACAATGCCCTTTAAACACAGGACCCTCAGCTCCACATGCGTCCATCTAACCGCTGCCACTCAAAGACGCAGAAACAACAATAGAGAATCAAGACAGACCAGACAACAACTTTATTGTTTTTTATTTGACCGTTGCCTCAGGTGTGTAGAAGATATCGACGTTCTCGTTGACTATGATATAAAGATAAGTGCAAAGCGCTCACCAATAAAACAGATATTGATGCGAATTTGAGCAGGGATCTTATGATGCAGAATTGCATGGGCGCTGCTGCTAACAGGGAGAAGATTGAGAAGGTAATAAGCATACACAAGTAAATTACTGCAGATTTGTTTGATCCGTTTCATTGTTCCGAAGTTTTTTGAAGGTGTCCAAGCACATCGTCATCAAATGAATTGACTCACTGTGATTAACTGTAACGATGTTTCAGTGCCATTTATGGATGAAAACCTGCATTTATTTTCCCAGTGGACATGCATTCCTTAATAACAGCCCTTGGAAACGGCCCATTATCTTCTTTTTCCTCATCTATAAAACTTCTCGGCTATCCTCAGAATAACGGTCCTAAATTATCGAGGCGGAAAATATACCCTAACAGGTCCTCAGTCACGTGTCAATTGCGCACTTCAAAGGACTATAAAGCCACCGCCGAATTGCGAACTTCCAGCGACTTCCGCCACCGCTGAGAGTATCCCCTACGGCGCTCACGCGGCTGAATTGGGGCTAAACTAGATGGCTAGGACTCACGAGCAAATAAAATAAAGGAAGTTGCAGGAGTCTGTAGCTGCTGCTCGTGAATCCCAGCCATTTAGTTTAGCTCCAGCGGTGGCGGAAGGCGCTAGAAGTTCGCAATTCGGCGGTGGCGTTATAGTCTCCGGAAAGACGCGTGGAGAATACTCTCGGCTGTGGTGAAAGTCGCCGGAAGTGCGCAGTTTAAGACGACGGAAGTGCGCAATTGACACCTGACTGAGGCCTTGTTAGGGTATATTTTCCGCCTCGATAATTTAGGACCGTCATTCAGAGGATAGCCAACTTCTCCTATATCTTCAGTTTTATGTTCCTAATGAAGCCCGACTAGCTCTTATGTTGTAAGATTCGTTCAGTTATCTCCCTCACTCGCCACGAAAGTGGAGGAACGAATATTGACTTTTTGGGCGAATATAAAACATAACTTTCAACGGGGAAAAAAATCTAGAAGTATTTTTTTTAAAGACTAATGTTAGCATGGATAAATATTGGAGTTGTGTTTGGTAACTAACAAACTTCACTTTCCTCTTTTGCGTTCACCATCCAAACGGCTGCTGACAAACTGTCTTGTGGTTTGAAATTACTTTTAGATATCAGTGCCTCTCGACCTAGCATATCCATTTTAAGAAAGCTCTTAATTATACATCTTTTACGACATGCTTGTTAAAAATGGGCTTGCCTTCTCTTTCACCACTAAAATTGTGTTCTAGAAACTCACACTGGAAGTGTTCTTCTTCTTCTTCTTCTTCTTCTTCTTCTTCTTCTTCTTCTTCTTCTTCTTCTTCTTCTTCTTCTTCTTCTTCTTCTTCTTCTTCTTCTTCTTCTTCTTCTTCTTCTTCTTCTTCTTCTTCTTCTTCTTCTTCTTCTTCTTCTTTCTTCTTCTTCTTCTTCTTCTTCTTCTTCTTCTTCTTCTTCTTCTTTTTCTTCTTCTTCTTTTTCTTCTTCTTCTTCTTCTTCTTCTTCTTCTTCTTCTTCTTCTTCTTCTCTTCTTCTTCTTCTTCTTCTTCTTCTTCTTCTTCTTCTTCTTCTTCTTCTTCTTCTTCTTTTTCTTCTTCTTCTTCTTCTTCTTCTTCTTCTTCTTCTTCTTCTTCTTCTTCTTCTTCTTCTTCTTCTTCTTCTTCTTCTTCTTCTTTTTCTTTTTCTTCTTCTTCTTCTTCGCATTCGCCAGCTGTAAACTCCTGTGTAAGAGTTCTCGTTGTTCGTCCACTTCTCGACTCTAGTCATGTTCCATAAGCTGAGTATCGCGTGTACATCCGTTTCACAGGTCTGAGTTTTTTGCATGCAGAATATTTGTTGAAATAATAACTACATATTTGATAACCAACACAATGTCAGTTGATTTGTAATTATTTTACATGCAATTTTCTCTATGTCAACATAATTTTTTGAAATGTTGGATATTTTACTGCAATATGTGTATGCTTGCACCACCAAATGTAAAATAGTGAATGTTTCATTGCAATAATTGTTTCATTATACAGTTTATTTGAAAAGGAGGATAAATGTTTGCAATATTTAGTTTTTATATATTTTTTAGCGTTTTGTAATTTGGTTATAGATGCTTCTCATGATTTTTGTCGCCAGTCGGATTGTATTTGGGTTTGTCTCCTTTGATCACATCAACCTGCCGAAGTCCTTTTCAAGGCTTTTAGTGGCCAGCAATGCTGAGCCATTTTATATGGTGCACATAACCTAGTGACAGTTATAACATAAAGCTTCGCCTTCGAGGATACTGGTTAAATGTGACGATATTTTTCCCAGCCAAACACTTAACTATACAGAGTTTGACCTATTCGCTGCAGTATAGACTATATGTCAAATCTTGATGGGCAATAGGTAGAGGGTTGTTCACAAGAATTGTCACCGGAGCTATGAAGCCATTGCTCTGCGGTTGACGCTTGACATTATCTTCAACTGGGCAGCTGGTTGGGAAGGGTAGGGTTGGAGAGAGGGTGGGAGGCATTTCTTGCCGGTCATAGGACGATATACCAATCGGTATGAATGATATGGTCAACATCACGCAGGCCGCCTTTACTTCAAGGGATATAACCTGTTTCCCATTTAGGGTTGGGTCACCTGAGAAACAAAGCCAGATTTGACCCCCCAAAGTAATCTTCAGTGTGGATGTGAACTATAGATTTTGTGGCGGCAAGTGAGTGTCAAGCCGCTATGGTACAGCAGTCTCCTGATAAAGAGTGGCAATTTTCTTCTTCTTCTTTTTCTTCTTCTTCTTCTTCTTCTTCTTCTTTTTCTTGTCGTCTGACTTAAACCAGGTTGTAGCCCAGTGTCCTGGTTTTTTGTATTTTTCTTGCGATTTTCGAGTGGATCGGGTGATGAATTTGTTCACTTTTTCGCAGGTTTCAATTTTTTTTTTTTTAAACGTATCCAGAAACCATGAGTTGTAAACCCTTTGGCTCGGTACTATGGATATCGCAACCCTTCGGCATTGATTCCATTATAGGTACCGTTAATCTGGGAGAAATGTGGCTTTTCTGCCTACCCCCGGGATTGAACCCGGACCACAAGGAGTTCGTCACCCGGCTGCCGCGAAAGTCAGGTTTAACCAACTTCGCTAGAGAGCCGGGCGAAGCAGGTTTCAATTACAGTGTATCTACCTCTTTCTTGTTCGTCCCCCCCCCCCCCCTCCTTCCTCCCAGACATTCTGCCGTTAAAAAAAAAAAACACACACACACCCCATCTAAGGCTGCATTGCCATTAGGTGGCCGAAACATTTTATTCTGTGTCTGTCAGTATGGTTTGATTACGGCCTTATTCCAGCCTTCTCTAAAATGCTGATGTTCATAATTCTGCTTCTTCTTGTGACCTTACAGAGACCGCGCATTTCACAAGTAGTTATTTTCTAATTTAGTGCATTATTTATTGTTCATGTTTGTCACTGATAGCATAAAATAGGAATGAATATGACACTAACCCTTTGTTGTTTTGATTGAAGGAAGACCTTTGGGTTAAAATAAAAATGAAAAAGTAAATAATAAATAAATGCTCGCTACGTTAAGTTATATGGAAATTTCATCTGACCGGAATCAGGTTTATTTTATTTGCCAGGATAATCTAGAATGAGAGGGAAAGAACAAGCGGATTGGTTTGCTGGTAGCGCCATGTGCTGTACAGAGAAAGCAGAAGACTGGGACTATATTCTCATCGCACTCAGGGAGGCAGTAGAATTCGATGATTCCGAAGACGACGGCGAAGGGGCAACATTTGCAAGGCTACAACAAGTTCACGTCATACTAGGTGTTGGCAGACATGAACAGTACAGAGATAGTCAAAGAAGAATAGTAAACTAACACGGAATTGCTGTTATCAGTCGCCA